GCTGTTACGCAAAAACCGCGATAGAGTGAAGCCGCGGAAGTCGAAGCGCGAAGTGGCGAGGGTTCACTGTATTTCCTTCTAGCGTTGTGTGTACATGGGCATGAGGGTCTACATAATTATATGCAGTTGTAGTTACTGAAAATAAGGGCTTTTCGGCAACAAATGTACAAATGTGCTTGACACAGTGGATGTATGCATAGATTGTGATAAGAGTTGTACGAGCCCCCAACAAAATGATTTTTTTAAGGGATTTTCTCTTTTTCTTTACATATATATTGGTAGGTTTTCTGTTAACAACCACTTAATAACATTTTGTTGACCCCATACGGATGGACATTTAGACCATTTCTCGTTTTTCGCTGTTTAAATTTGTGCTATGCATAAAGTTAAAAAATAAAAGACCCAATTGCCTTCGAGTTGATTTCCCCCTCAGAGGGACACTAGGACAGAGAAGAATAGACTCTGGGTTTCCGAGGTTGCAAATCTTCATGGAAACAGAAAGCCTCATCTTTCTTGGAGCAACTGGTAGGGCGAGCTGCTGACCTTACGGTTGGTTACTCCTCAGGCCTTATTTCTTTGTATGCCTTGTTGCCTTTGACTTCGTGTTTCAGGGTGTTTGTTAAAAATTACTGGTGGGAATCACTTGAGGCCTATGATTATGGAACCTTTCTCCAGAGAGGCTTTTATGTTTGTCTCAAGGCACAATGGGCTTGTGTTCATGTTAATCCAAGATCAAGGCTTGACAGGTACTGAGCTGGCTGTCACAGGTGTTCTGAACCGTAGCTGATGGTGTTTGTAGGGGTTAGTTTTTCTGTAGGGGTTGGTTTTTCTGGTTTGTCCTTATCACAAGAGCCTAGCCCTTCCCAAATTCTGTCTTAAAGTGAGGATGCACAGTGCTTCATCAGGTGCCCCATCTGGTACTGCCCATCAGATGAAGTCTGTTCCCCATTCAGGTTGGCAGCTGATGTTCACAGTGACAGTAGCTTTGCATGTTGGGCCATATCTCTGGGTTTTCAGTGTCTTCTAGATTTTGGTCCAGAAATTCAATACTATTATATTAAATTCAGCACTATGATATTAACTCTGACCATTTTAAAAAGATATTTTTAGTATACCTTTTAAAGTTATCCTTAGTGGAACGATTGGGGCCACTTACCTAGGTCATCATTACCAGGAGCAGAACTGTCCTGTTTTTAGATAGTCTTTTAATTTCTTAATAAGAACAAAAGTAAAATTAGTATCCTCATGCTCCCATCTTTCTTTATTTGAAAATTATTTATTGTGAATTGAGTGAATGTTTAGAGCCAATCATCAGTTTTATCAGTGACTGGTACTCATTCTATTTTATCTCATTCTTTGCCATCCCTCAGTGTAACACCATCTAGCCCACCTCCCTGTGTTTCCTGCCTCTAGGCCAGTGGTTCTCAACCTTTCAAATGCTCGGC